CGGCTGGTCCCGCCTTTGAGCTTCGCGCGGGGCCGTGACTGGGAGACTCCAGGATCGCTGCGCGGGCTGGGGAAAGCAGGAACCCGCGCTCTCGCGGGGCGTGTCCTTGAGCGCCCTCTCCGGGGCTGGGATCCCAACTCTCAGTTGGGACAGCAGCGCAAGTGACCCGGCAGTCCCACCTTGATACGCCGGGTGTCGCCATCGGACCAGGCACTTGGCGCAACCGGGTCTGGAGAGGCCGGCGGGGCCGGCCGTGTCCCGAGGGCGGGGCGCACTCCTCCGGACCCGGTTCCAGGTCACCGTGGCCCCTCGCCGCCTCCCGGCGCCTTCCCCGCGGTCCCCTCTCGTGCCCGATGCCGGCTTCCCCCCCCCCCGTTTTTTTTTCGCCCCACCCAGCGCCCCCGACCTGGCTCGCGCGTGCTCTCGGGCAGCGCCCCAGGCGAGCCCTCCCCGCCAGCCCTGGCTCTGCGCCCTTCGGCCCCGGGCGCGGATCAGCGGCGCGCTGGAGACCTGTACGCGCCCCCCGCCTGCAGCCTGGCAGGGGAGGAACTCGGGGGCCCTTCCTGAGCACCTGAGCCGCCTTTGCGCATCTCGTCAGTTCTCCCGAACCCCAGGGCCTCGCGGCAGAAGGAAGAGCCCGGCCGGCTGCCCCTTTCCGCACACCTCAGCCCCGGGTGCTCTCTGCCTCATTCACTCCGCGGGCGCTGCGCGGGCAGGAGTATCCCCGGCACCGCGCCGGGAAGGCCGGAAGCAGCTGGCCTGGAGCGAAGGAGAGGGCAGGGGAGGGAAGCGTCTGGGGCAGAGGAACGAGCCTGTGTCAAGGCCCTGCCGTCCGAAGCAGCGTGATAACAGCAGGTAACGACGAGCCTTGCAGAGCCGGGCGGTTCTGAGCGTGGGTCCTGTCGCGTACATACACTGGAAGCTCTTTTTAACAGGTGAGGAAACTGAGGCACACAGAGGGTGGCGTAGCAGTGGGGCGGGGCTGTGGCAGGTGGGAGGGAACAGGCTGGCTGTCCTCTGGGGCCTGGAGAGCCTGGGACAAAGGGCCAAGGCTGGAGGGGCTGGGAAGGGGCGGACCACAGAGGGTCCTAGGAGGAGCTGGAGGAGGGACACGGGCACTGAGCGACTGTGGCGTCCCCATGTGGAGTCCAGGTTAAGCTCCGAATACGCCTAAGATGCCACCAAAGTCACTGACGGCGACTTTGAGCTGACAGCGTTTACAAAGTTTTAAACATTCAAGTTGTTGGTGCCTCCAGTACACGCCCAGTCCTTCACCCCGCGGGTAAATGTCCACCCTCCGCGTGGCTTGTAACCGCGGAAATATTGTACTTTATCCTCAGGGTAATGCGTAGCAGCCCCTGAACTGCCCATGGCAAGACCAGAGCCTTGCAGAGGGGAATGTGGACTGGAGGGAGGGAGACTGGAGCCGGGCGTGGCTGGAGACAGGGACAGTGCGTGTGTGGGGCACTACCACCTGAGCCTGTCATGGGGACGGTTGGGGCAGAGAACTCGGTCTAGGAGGCTGGTCCACAGGCTTGGGGCTGAGGTGGAGGGCTGAGTCAGGGGTGGCCGGTGTCAGCAGGGTCGGGGTCTCTGACTC